TCATGTGCTCGACGCTGCCTCCATGCTTGCTGAAATCGTGGGAATGCTGCGCTATTAGAAGAGGAGAACATTTTATTTTTTAAGGCTTTAAAGGAGGAAATGGTAGATTAAGGCAAATGAGTAAAAGAGCAGCCAAACTGGTTTTGGATAATGACTTCATTGAGGACTCCTGACTATGCAGTGGAGCAGTGAAGCTGTGTTCTCTGGAGTGATGGAGCTCCATCCAATACCTTTGGGATGAGCTGGAGTGATCCAGAACTGATCATCCAACATCAGTACCTGACCTCACTAATGCTCTGTCAAATCCTCACAGCAATGTTCCAACATAAAACATGTAAAGCCTTCTAAGAAGAGCAGAGGCTGTTACTGCAGCAAAGAGGGACGTAATCACTATTAATACCCTTAGTTTTTAGAAGAAACATGGGTGTCTTTTCACTTTCGCAATAATATAATAATAATAATAATAATAATAATAATAATAATAATAATAATGATAATGGCCCTTAATATTGTGTTCAAAATTCATGATGAACAGCCCAACAGAAATGATCCAAAATTACTTGGAAAACAAAAATCATTACATTAACTTACATTAAAGAATGAAGAATGTTTTTACTATATATAAACACGATTGTGTGTAAAAGTCAGAGAACACCCAATGTTTATTTAGTTTCTTTTCCAAATAGTAATTAAATTATTCCAAAAAAATTTCAATGCTATTGGAACAAAATCTCGTATCTCCATTTTTGCCGTTTTTCAGTTTTTGACATAATTAAAAATTGCCTGTAGTCTTTTATATTGTATGTAAATTTCATGATGAATGGACCAAAAGAAACAACCCAAAATGACTTGTAAAATTTCTGGTTCCATTGACTTACATTACAAGTAAAGTAGATTTATATATATATATATACATATATATATATATATATATATATATATATATATATATATATATATATATATATATATACATATATATTTCTGGGGAGAACACATATAAGATCATCCACTTGTATAAGGGATGAGAAAGGGATAAAAACAGTTTCCAAAACTGGAGGTCAAAAGATTAATAAAACAAAGCGAGACTCCTAACAACCATGCAAGACCTGGTCGACTGGTCTGAGCTCCACTCTTGCTTCAGATCTGAAACAATCCACCTCCATCCTTCCACTGTGAGAAGACAACTTCAGCATCAGAAAGGATGTGTAGCTGTCAAGAAGAACCTCACTGAGAAAAGAAAGGACATCAGTAGAACAGCAAAACTGGACATCTGAGATGTGGAGTGAAGTTTTATGGACTGATGAGCCTAAATTTGGGATCACCTTCACGGCAAATGCAACCTTTGCAAATCAAACAAAGAAGCTGCTGGTGTTCTGACCACCCCAGAGTCCAGATCTCAACATTACTGAATGTGTTTGGGATTACTTAGATTGAGAGAAGCAGAAAATGTGCAAGCAACTTCTAAGATTGAGCTTTGGAGGTGTTAAAGTCTCTTTGGAAAACTTAAAGTCAGTCTCCTGAAAAGAATAGAAGCGGTAATAAAGGTAAAAAGTGGACAAAGTAAATAAAAAAATATATTATATTATGTTTTGTTTGGGGTTCTGTGTAATTATACTGGTGACATTTTATTTTGAGTGGTCCTCTGAGGTAAGATTAGGGTTAGGATTAGGGCCAGGGTGAAAGTTAGGTGTTGGGTAAGGTTGGTAAGGTTAGGTTTTGCATAATGTAAATAACATATTAACACATTACTTCAGAGTATTCAGGTGCTTCACTGCTGCTACTTCACTGATATGTTGATGATGTGTTACTGATAATCTGTTAAGAGTTTATTAATCATATACAAAGGACCACTCCAAACAAAGAGTTACCATGTTATTCTATACATTATTTTAAATACTAATCTATCTATCTATCTATATATATATATATATATATATATATATATATATATATATATATATATATATATATATATATATATATATATATATATATATAAAACGTTCATTCATTTTTAAATGTGACAGAAATGAACAGGTAAGCAATGCATAACAGTAAACTGGCACTTTAGTATTACCGTAATGATGTCTGGCTGCCTTATACCCCACTGCACACCATTCACTCACTTCAGAATGGAGCTTGATAGTGAATAAACCCCATGCACCATGCAGTTACATGGAATGAGAAGCTTACAGAGGTTCCCTGTTTGGTTAGATCACAGTGACCCATCACTCGCTCGCTCACATACACTCTCTCTCTCTCTCTCTCTCTCTCTCTCTCTCTCTCTCTCTCTCTCACACACACCCCCATGCACACACATAATGACGGACCCTTTTTACTCTCCCGCTGTTCACTCCATAGCCGAAGACTACAGGGCTGGTGCTCGGAGCCTCCGCTGAACTCCATGTGTATCCATGACAACCAGGCGCAGGCTATCTCAAGACAGGATCTCAGCACACTCCACAAACATGAACTTTAGTACATTGTACAAGGGCACATGAAAAAAAAAAAAAAGTGTTACTAAGCGAGTGTGCCATTATGAAATGTAGTTCAAACATTACAAAGCTATTAGACTGCATCCACACAATCATCACAGGACGCTCATGGAAATCACGTTGTGGATAATGAATTCAAAATCCTTTTATCCAACCTTGTAGACTCACATTACTTCAGGACAATTTAATGAAGATTAAAGGCTGCACAGACTGAACTTTTCGGTCTTGCGTCCAAAACCCACACAGTTATAAATACAGAGACTCTACATTATATACAACATCACGGGCAAAGGCCCAAAACCAGTATGTTTCATTAAACACTACTCGTCTATGAAGTCCGAACTTCACTTTGCTTGTTTTCTTCAATGAAGATACAATATCGGAAACTTCTTCTTTTTTTTTGTAAAATAACGGTTTCAAGTGCAAAAATAATACCGGAACTTTTGCAAATGGCACTATGAGAATTGACAAAAGCACATGTGCACATCAACATACGCATGCACATGCAGATGCACATGCATGCACACACATTCGGCAGATGAATATTATAATCTACCATGCATCATTTTTCCACCAACATTCTCAGCTTTCGAATACATTAACAAAAGAAGATCAACCAAAATGTCCATGGATTTGCTGTGGATAGATAGTCCAGTATCATATATCCAATATCCAACACTTGATCTCCTTTTATTTAAACATGTAGCAGCCACTTCTGCTGAGATCTTCTCATTCTGTTTGGAAATATGAGCACATCAGTCTCGGCGAGCCAAGCGTGATCTCATAACGAGGACGTCTGGGGACATCCTTGAGAAATGTTGAGCTAAATAGGGGTTGGACTTATTAGGGTGAGTGTGAAATTTCCAAACCAAACTCGTGAAGACAGAGTTCAAGGTAGGGGGCGCTAGTGTGCTCGCCAACATTGTCAACCTGGCTGAAAAAGGCCCATCAAAAAACTCCAAATAAGCATGTAGCATGTGTGTTGTGATTGTAAAGAACATATTACGTACCATAAAAGCATACATTAGTTAGCTAATCATAGTGCCAGCGGATTTGTTTTGCTTGTATTATCAATTGTACGTTAAAAGAGTGCAGACTCTCATGGACTCCAGCAGCAAACGTTTAAGACTTGTATTCTCATGATGAGATTAGATCCAGCCCTACGAGAGTACAAGGACATACGCTTAAAAAATAACAGAGGGTTCTTGGGAGTGATGGCAAAGAGGAACAAGTTTGATGCCCTAATGAAACCTTCAAAGGATTTGATACCCTAGAAGAACCTCTTTTGGTTTCCTAAACATTTCTAATTGACATTTTTAAATAACAATCAATTGCAAGGTTCCTTACAGCAGTGGTTCTCAATGTGGTTCTCAGGGCCCCTCAGGTAGGCCATGGTTTTCATTCTCATTGGGCTGAAGCAAAACTATGGACTGTCTGTAGGGCTTTGAGGAACCACTACCTTAATCTAGGTTATGATATCCTTTCAAAGCTTCATTAGGAGTATTCACTTTTGGTTCTGGAGGGGAACTGAATATCTCTAACATAGAAGAACCACTTGTGGTTCCCTAAAAATTGACACAGTGCCATTGAACAGGGGTATTCAGTCCTGGAAGGGTACTGTCCAGTACACTCTCAAAAAAAGGTATGTAACTGTCACTGGGGTGGTACCCCTCTTGTCACTGGGGTGGGACCCTCAAGGGTCCATCTCAGTACCTTTAGTCAGGGAAGATAACTGTACCATAATCCACTGAAATGGTATGTTCTAAGCTGTACTGACTCCACACACCCCGTCTCGTCTCCAGGACTTTATTTTACTGTTCTGTTTTAAAACATTCGGTTATGAAAAGGTACAAATATGTACTTTTCACCTGGAAAAACGTACTTATGGTACACAGTTGGACCTTAAAACCACTGTTGTACCTTTGAGGGAACATTTATATTGTTTGTACCTTGACGAATGAAAAATGTACCTGCACAGAACCTGTTCTAACAGTGAACAGCTTGGAGACTAGGACTAGGATGAGAGTTGAATACCCTAATTCTATGGCATTACATCCACTGAAAGGTTCCTCACATTGTCAGAAGAAGGGACTGTGCAGGTATAAACATAAAACTGGTATCTCCAAAATAGTAACTTCACAGTAGACGGCAAAAACATTCTCTACTTCCAATGTATGTTAATGTGTAGAGATTTTATTCCGAGCCATTTTGGAGCATTTCTGTTGGTCCATTCATCATGAAATTTTCATGCAATGTAAAGGACAGCTGTTGTGCTCAAATAATGCAGAAAAGTAAAGAAAACTGAGATGCATGTTTTTCTTTGGACAGTGACGTTATGTTTTTCCCAGAGAAAAGTACTAATTGTACCTGGTCATAACCTGATGTTTCAAAACATGGCAATAAAATAAAAATCCTAGAGACAAGACCGGTTGTGTGGAGTTAATCCAACCTATAAAATATAATTGCAATGGATTATGGTACAATTATGATCCCTTACAAAATTTCCTGAAGACGTTCCCTTGAGGGCGCAACCCCAGTCACAGTTTTCTGAGAGTGTGGGAAGCCAAAGTGGTTCTTCTATGGCAGGGGTATTCAATTCTGGTCCTGAAGGGCTGGTGTCCAGCACTTTTTTGGCAGTTCTCTTCCTCAAGCACACCCAGCAAACCTCGTAATTAACAAACGAGATGAATTAAGTGTCTTTGAGGAGGGAAATCAATCACCAAATAGTGCTGAATACCAGCCCTCCAGTGTTGAATTCTCCATTCTGTGGCATTGCATCCACTGAGAAGTTCTGTTAGAAACCAAAAGTAGGTCTTCTATGACACTGATCCAAAGAAGCGAGTGTACACATTGCGATTTTACAGTAAACACATGCCAATAGCACGTCTACATCCAATCAGTTCACAATGCAGAACAGCGTATCTCATCTGAGCCTTTCACACTGCTCTCTATAGAGTAAGCCAAGTGGTCATTTCTTGGTTCCATTAGTGGCTACAGGCTATAGGTTGCTGCTGGTAACAGAATGATAACATGCTTGATTGCAGGGCTACAGAAAGAGCATGGCTTCTCCAACTTCACACCTGAGCGAAAGCTTGCTATGCTGCACTCCAGGCAGCCATGTTTCACTGCTATAAGCCCAAGCCATCAGCTAATGCACAGCAGCTGGGTGCAGTTAAACTGTGGTGCAGTTGGTTGAGGGCACCATCTCCATCTTGTTCCTCATCTCGCGGGCATCGTGCACTGGGCACTCGCTGGCTGCCTGGCAGCGGAACACCTGCTTGTAGGCCTGCCTGAAGTTCTCGGAGAGGAAGGCGTATATGATCGGGTTCACGGAGGAGTTGCTGTAGGCCAGGCAGTGGGCGGTCACACGGAAAAGGAAAGACGCCTGGTTGAGGGGAAAGGAGCCAAACTCTACCCAGAGATGCACCACATGATGAGGCAGCCAGGACAGGCAGAAGACCACCACCACCACTAGCACTGTCTGTGCAGTCTGCGAACAAGCAGCAAACAGAATTTTAGAACTCTTAGGATGTTTTTTAAAGCTTAGCCACTATGACTCATCTTTATATTACCTTTGGCTTACTGAAGCTACACGAGCAGACTCAAAAGTCATTATCCTTGTACAGTGACAATAAACAGCAGTCCATGCTGTTCTATTCCAAAATACAAATGACCTCATTAGCTTAGAATGAAGGAGGAGGATGATATATAAAGAGATGTTTGTTAAATGTACAAGTTTGGATTTGCAACATGCATTTATCAGCAGAAGATCAATTCAAATGTGCACCAAGATCAGCCGGATCACCCATAAAGTACTAGAAACTCTCTCTTTACAACTGAATATACTACAATCATGTCTACTGAGATCTTCCCATTGTGTTTGGAACCAGAGGCATATAAGCTGAACTTCAGTCATGCTAAACTTTCTGTCATGAGAAAAAAAATCTACCTTTTTAGGAGATGTAAAAATCTATTGCAATATATGTGTTACAGGAATGGTTTTGCAAAAAAAAATCCAATTTACACAATTTTCCCTTTACCCTAGATCAGGGGTTGACAACATGCGGCTCATGAGGCTCTTTTACTGCCCTGTTGTGGCTCCACAGCAGAATCAGATTTGTAGGTAAAAATAAAATAATCCTCCTTTACAGTAAAATAAAGCTCTGCTGATCGTTCAACACAGTTTAACAATAAATGGTTTTAAACGCTGGAGTTAATGTAGAACTGCTAATTCACCCTTTAACCCTGAAGGCGGACTGCTGGTCACCATAGCAACAGAGACAACAATCTCGCCTGGCTAGTAGCTAACGAAAAGGCAAAGAGAGAGATTTGAGACAAACATTGATAATTTGGAGACGAATGGACTTGTTTGCATTTATAATCTCTCCAGCTGGTTTCCTGATACATTTAATCTGCAACAAGAAACTGTCAAACACTAAAAAATCTTGAAGCTGAAGTCAGATTCTCGTCCGCCAGTTTCTTCTTAAAATTTTCCCATTCCAGTGTTCTTGGTTACATTCTGGTGTTAAGGTGGAACGAGAAAATTCGAACAAGAAGCTGGTGAACAAGATATTTCACAAGAAACTATTCTACTTTTGTGGAAAGGTTTCCTGCCAGAGATCTGAGAAATGTAGCTAGCTTAAAGCAGAGCAAAGTAAGGCTGTGTTTTCTGTTTATATAATATTTTTAGACTACACTAGTTCATTAGCACACAGAGACATATTTACAGCCAAGATGGTACAACGTTACTTCAATAAATGGACATGTTGTGGCTCCCAAGGCGAATTGATTTTTGTTGAAAGGACAAAATGGCTCTTCTCAGCATTTGGGTTGCCGACACCCTCCCTAGATGTAGTCTTTCAGGAAAGACATGTTTTGTGTCCACATTTCGCTTCTTTAGTTTTTTTAGGAGCTACAAAGCTAACCAACACTAGAAGTCAATAGTCACCCAAATCTTTTTCTGCAAATACATATGCAAAACTTCCCTGAACTCGCATCCAAATCTTCATTACAGTTAAACAGGCTTGCCGATGTTGTCTAGAGCACAGTATAAATTACTGTGAGCTATAAACATGAGCAAAGCTTCACCATGTAGCTCAACACAGTAGATATTTTAGCCAACAGGCTTTGACGTTCATGCATATCATGCAAGCACATGGATGCTTTTCTATTCTTAAACATACGTCTTCAGTTCTATAATTCAAAATAACAGTTATTTATAAAAAGAACCAACAGATCATAATTAGTGGAGTCCCTATGCTGCAGGTCTGCATGATGGGGTCAGAATTCAGCACAACACCTGTTGTCTAAAGTGGCCGCCTGCTGTGTTCAATTACACAGTGAAGTTTTATGCATTTTTATGGCACATAGTGAGTCATACTGTGTTATAAACTGCGTTAACAAGTCTGTGCAACTTTAATAAAGAGCTGGATGCAGATTAAAAGTCTTGAGAGAAGTTTTGAGGATGTATTTACAGGAACGATTTGGTTGACGACTTCTATGCATATGTGTATGATAGCCACATCAGCCTTGTAGTTCAAGTCTAAGACTAAAGAAGCCAATTTTGGACACCAAACATGTCTTGCTTGATCAGTTACATTCGGCATAAGTGGAAAATTGAGTGCATTCAATTTTTTGCCAAGCCATTCCTTTAATGTTACAAGTTAGACTTGTTTCAAATGTTCTAGTGGCTCATTTGTCCATGAAATGTATGCAATATGTGCATGCAATACATACATACATACATAAATATATACATACAGCAACAATATTCAAAACTAAACTTATTTCACACAGAAAAACAAAAAAACAAACTGTTCACTGTACCTAATAAGACTGCAGACAGACTACAGAGGTAATGCAAGTGATTCATTAAACCAGCCGAGCCTAAATCCTTCTCACCTTCTTTTTCGATGCCTCCGACTTCTTTGATACATTTCTCAGCTTTTTATGAAGGTGATTCAGCACCTGCACACATGTGGATGCCAAATAGTTTGAAATATCTGGCAAAAAGTGAGATGAATACTTCACAGCAATAATTTATGAATAACACACATCAAATGCATTTCTCATATCTGTCACTCTGACACGGCTGTGATGTTGAATGAACCCCTACAGTGTTGATTTAACAGATGCTCTGTTGCTTTATTGAATTAACACAAAGTATTGCATGAACACCTACAGTGTTGAATTAACCCACACACTTAGGGTCGGCTTCCAAGACAGGGATCAAGCCTAGACGCGGACTACACAGCATTCTGCAGCATTCTGAAAGGAGATTCTCCATTGGAAGGAAAGACTCGGCTTAATCCCTGTCCAAGAAGCAGGGAATTCTACTTGCAGTGTTTATTTAAACTCAGATAGACAGAGTATTGAACTTCAATACTGAAAAATGGAGCAGGGCACATTTGAGGAGTTGACGCATATTGTGGCCTTTCTGCATCTAAAACGTTGTCATTTGATCAAATAATCCAGTAATATTAATAATAATATAATAATAATAATATATCGCTGTGGTCAGAAGAAAACCTTGCATCTCCAAAATGGTAACTTCACAGGAGAACTTTTCTTTTAATGTAAGTCAATGGAACCAGACTTTTTTCCATGTTAGTTTGGGCCACTTCTTTTACACATAATGTCAAAAACTGAAAAACAACAAAATGGAGATACAAGGTTTTCTTCTGAAGGCAGTGGTGTAATAATAGAATAATTTGGCTCCAATAAAGACATGTTGAAGTGCTTGTTATGGCTCGAAATATCATTACATTAAAGCCTGGAGAACGTAGGGCTGAACGATTTGGGGAAAATATCTAATTGCGATTTTCTGCCCAATATTATGATTGCAGTTTAAATGCAATTATTTTCTATAACTTAATTTCCAGGCTTGTTTTTTTTTGGCCAAGAAGAGCAAAATGTCCACTTTCTCTAGCATGAAGCTGGACACTGACTGCACCAGACTACCACTTCGCTGTGATGGTTGTGATGTCACATATACAGATATATATGGGTGTTTTTTTTAGCTTCTGATTGGTCTAACTGATCTACAAGCAGCTCACAAGCTCTGTGTTATTGGGTTAAATTTCCCATTTAAAACTTAAGACAACTTTGTTGATAATGATTCGATTTTGATATGAAAGCGATTAATCGTCCAGCTCTAGGAGAAGCAGCCGCTCACCTTCGCGTAACAGAAGGAGATCAGGATGAGAGGCAGCAGGTATCCGAAGACGAAGGTGAAAACCACGTAGATCTTCCTGCGGTTGTTATCAGGCCACACTTCCCAGCAGTACGTGCTGTTGTCCTGGCTCTCCACGATGCTCTGGTAGAGCGCCACCGGCGCGGCCATGGCCAGCGAGAGCACCCAAATGACGGCCACCCCGAGCAGCGCGTGCCGCACCACCCGTATGGACGAGGACTTTCGGCAGTGCACGATGGCCACGTAGCGGTCCACGGACATCGCGGACAGCGTGAAGATGCTGACCAGCATGGACACGGTGAAGAAGTAGTGGATGAACTTGCAGATGAACTCGCCGAAGACCCACGTGGGCAGCATGTAGACGGTGGACTGGAAGGGGATGCAGAAGAGCAGGTAGGAGAGGTCGGCGATGCTCAGGTTGAGGATGAAGACGTTGGTGGTGCTCCGCTGCTGCCCGGGCTTGCGCCTCGCCAGCACCGTGATGACCAGCGAGTTGCCCAGCACGCCCAGAGTGAAGATGAGCCCGAAGATAAGCAGCGTGACCAGAGTGTCCGCGCCTATGCCGGGCGCCTCGAGGTCTGCCGCGCGCTCGGAGATGTCCGTGCCACTGGCGTTGTGCATGTTCGCCGTTTCCTTAAAGCAGATCAGCCTTGAAAAAAAAAACCTGATTTATTTAGTTTTCTTTTTGCAGAAGCCGCGAAGGGCCGCGCGCAATCACGCGCATTACAGAAAAGCGTCAACAAATGTGCCGAGAGGATGATTTTCTGAGCAGAAAAGAAAAAGCAAAAGATTTTGACGAATGTTTTTATGTCTTCAGCGTTCATAAATTCATACTTGTGCTCGCGCGTCCTCGGCGTGTTTGCGCGCTCCGCTCGCTCGCTGGAGTGCGCGCACTGGATGCGCAACAGCACTGTGCGGTGCGTGAGCCACAGGCAGGACGTCACCGAGAGCGAGGCTTTCGCAGCCCGTCCTCGCGTAGCCTCGAGTAAGGAGGAAGGCACGATGTTAGTCATGGTTTCTGTGTGATCTGCAGCAGAAACTGTGGATCTAGCAGTAGAACCCGTGGATCTAGCAGTAGAACGTTCTCTTTATATGTAAGTTTAGGCCCCTGACCAAGTTACATAAAAAAGATGGTTCTGTAAGGGTTCTTTAGTAAAGACAAGGTTTCTATATGGATCCTTCAACACTTAAAGAACCATTTGCATGCTTAAAGGGTTCTTTGCGTGGTGAAATGGTTCTCCAGGTTGATAGAAAATGTCTTTTATAAGGTTCTATTTGAAAATGGTTCTATATAGCACCGAAATAGGTTCTGCTGTTGTTACAAGTTTGATATTGTAATCATAGAAGAACCCTTTTTTGGTGCTACATATGTTAGTGCTAATTAGAACCTTTAGCACCGTATAACACCAAAAATGGGAAAACAAAGTGACACCTTAGCAACCACCTGGAATACCATAGCTATGGCCTAGCAACACCTTAACAACCGACATTTGCTATACGCTCTTGAAAAAAGATGGTTCTTCAAGGGTTCTTTAGTAAAGACAGTCATTCTATACAGAACCATCAAGACTTAAAAAATCATTTGCATGCTTAAAGGGTTCTTTGCATGGTGGTTTTGCAATGGTTCTTCAGGGTGATGGAGTGACGTTTTGTATATGGTCATATGTAGAACCTTTTTGAAAGGGTTCTTCTAACGTTATGATGTCACGCTTGTATACAATAGAAGAACCCTTTTCAAAAAGGTTCTACATATGGCCTTATACAACACATGCTCCACCAATCTGAAAAACCTTTCCACCATGCAAAGAACCCTTTAAGCATGCAAACGTTTCTTTAAGTATTCATGGTTCTATATAGAATCTTTGCCTAAGAGCCCTTGAAGAACCGTCTTTTTTAAGAGTGTACTGTAAAAGCTGTTTATGTGGCAGTAAGCCTTATTTGCTTGGAAAATCAAGAATGCAATAAGCAGTGATTTTGTGTATGTTTAACCTTTTCCAGACCTCTTCCCAAGAGATCCCAGTGTTATTTGCAGTTATCATCCAATACCTGCTTTCACTAATCAATATTTCATTATGTTACATAGAGTAAATGTGCTGCTGATGGAAATGAACAAATCCATGCGATGGCTGGAGGAGAAATCGGGAGCCAAATGTTGTCCTTCAAACTTACAAGATATAAACAAAGTTTTGAAAATAAACAAGAAATTACCTTTTTACGGCATTTGTTATTGTGTTATTGTAATCATATATGGTGTTTTTACACAGACCTACAGACACGAGAAATAGTTTAGGCACTAAGACCTTTGAACAGTACTCTCCCTCTCTCTCTCTCTTTCTCTCTCTCTGTATATATATATAACACATATAACACATATATATACACATATATAACACATATAACACATATAGAGCTATTGTCGGAAACAAAACCTCGAATCTCCAAAATGGAAGGAAAAACCTTCTTCATTTTTAATGTAGGTCAATGGAATCAGACTTTTTTCCGAGTCATTTTGTTCCATTTCTTTTGTTCCATTCATAATGACATTTATGCACAATGTAAAGGTCAACAGATATTTTCAAATTATGTCCAAAACTGGAAAACGACAAAAATGGAGATTCAAGGTTTTTTTCATATATTTACACATCCTCTTGTTGGAACAAAACCTCATATATATACATATATATATATATATATATATATATATATATATATATATATATATATATATATACTATGATAGATAGATAGATAGATAGATAGATAGATAGATAGATAGGCAGACAGACAGACAGACAGACAGACATACAGACAGACAGACAGATAGATAGATAGATAGATAGATAGATAGATAGATAGATAGATACTCATTTAGTTCAATACACTGTTTTTTCAATATTGTTTCTGTTGTGGTTGAGGATAATAGTGTTTATACAGAGGAACAATGTTTAAATCCACAGTAGGAACAACACTGTCTGATCTACAAAGACACATTATTTTGATGTGATTTGGTATTTTGATCTAATAGCAGTGCCTCTACCTAGGATCTGTCTGTGTTGTACTGTGCCTGTAATACTTTCTACTGTTGTTGAGACAGATGTTTCTTTTGTACTACTACTGCCACTACAACTACTACTATCACTACTACTATTACTACTGCTCATACTACTACTACTACTACTAATAATAATAATAATAAAAGTGGAATGACATAAAGTAAAAAAAGAGACCACACATGCATAAAGAATAATAAGGTAAATGGAAAAATAAATTAAGCTTAAAAATAAAAAGGAGTTGGGTCAACACAACTTACTTATCTTGAGGGTTAACTCAGTTGACAGTATTTTTTTCACAGTATAAGACTCTAAATAAAGAAATAAAAAGGAGCACAAAACAAAACATCCAGTAAAAGGCTGAACAGAACATCTGCTAGTAAAGGCAGGTGTTATAAATTAATAAATAAGGAGTTCCAAATCTTTGGAACATAACAGCAGAAGGCTGCTTCACATGCTGCTTTGTACTTTGTCCTTGGAACATTCAGTGAACCAAGACTTGATGATCTTTAAACTCGTTTTGGAACATCAAGGTTCAACTCCATTAACAGCTTTAAAAACAAGTAGAAAACGTTTCTGCTGCCAGTGCAATGACACTAAAACAGGTGCAATATACAGATCAAACAGCCCTGTTTCCAGTGCAGATCAGAAGGGTGGTGTTTTCTTCTCAGACAGAGAAAAAGGTTTTTCTACCACAGATCAAAAGAACATGTTTGTAAACCAAATACTGTTGTTTTTGTCTATAAATCACAAAGTTATGTGTCTTCTATAAGTTAAACAGCAGTGCTTCTGTGGATCTAACGGTAGGGTTTCTACTGCAGATCAAAGTAGTTGTGTTTCCTTTGTAGACTGAAAAGTATTGTTTCTACTGTGGATTAAACAGAAGTATTTCCTCCACAGATCAAACAGTAGTGTTTACATTACAGATCAAAGAGTATACTAAGATAAAATACTAGTGTTTATACTATAGGCAAGGCAAGGAAAGTTTAGTTATATAACACATTTCATGCACGAAGGCAATTCAGTGTGCTTTACATAAATACAACCCCAATTCCAAAAAAATGGGATGCTGTGTAAAATGTAAATAAAAACAGAATGCAATAATTGGCAAATCTCGTAGACCCATATTTTATTCACTATAGAACATAGAACACATATCAGATGTTGAAAGTGAGACATTTTACCATTTCATGAAAAATATTAACTCTTTTAGAACTTGATGGCAGCAACACATCTCAAAAAAGTCAGGACAGGGCCGAGTCTACCATTGTGTAGCTTCCCCTCTTCTTTTAACATCAGTCTGTAAACGTCTGGGAAGTGAGGAGACAAATTGTAAGAGTTTTGGGAGATAAATTTTGACCCATTCTTGTCTGATATAGGATTCTAGCTGCTCAACAGATTTTTTGTTTCATGATGTGCCAAATGTTTTCTGTTGGTGAAAGGTCTGGACTGCAGGCAGGCCAGTTCAGCACCTGGACTCTTCTTCTGCTAAACCATGCTGTTGTGAAAGATGCAGTATGTGGTTTAGTGTTGTCTTGATGAAATATGCAAGGCCTTCCCTGAAAGAGACGCTGTCTGGATGGGAGCATATGTTGTTCTAAAACCTCTAGATACTGTTCAGCATTGATAGGGCCTTTCCAGGTGTGTAAGCTGCCCACACCATAGGCACTAATGTAAGCCCATACCATCAGAGATGCAGGCTTTTGAACTGTGCGATGATAACAAGCTGGATGGTCCCGCTCTACTTGAGTCCACAGGACACGGCGTCTGTGGTTTCAAAAAAGGATTTCAAATTTTGATTCATCTGACCACAGAACAGTTTTCCATTTTGCCTCTGTCTATTTTAAATGAGCTTTGGCCCAGAGAAGACGGCGGTGTTTCTGGATCGTGTTGACATATGACTTTTTCTTTGCATGATACAGCTTTAACTTGCATTTGTGGATTGCATGGCAAACTGTGTTCACAGACAATGATTTCTGGAAGTGTTCCTGAGCCCATGCAGTGATTTCATGCCTGTTTTCAATGCAGTGCCACCTGAGGGCCCGAAGATCACGAGCATTCAACATTAACCATCGGCTTTGTCCCTTGTGTGCAGGGTTTTCTCGAGATACTCTGAATCTTTTGATGATATTATGTACTGTAGGTGGTGGGATATCCAAAGTCTTATGTTGTTTCACAATTTTTAGACTCAGTTTTTCTCAGATTGGTGAACCTCTTCCCATCTTTGCTACTGAGAGTCTCTGCCTCTCTAAAATGCTCTTTTTATGCCTAGTCATGTGAGTTAGTTGCAAATTGCTCCTCCAGATGTTTTTTATTAGGACCACTTACTTTTCCAGCCTTTTGTTGCCCCTGTCCCAACTGTTTTGAGATGCGTTGCTGCCTTCAAGTTCTAAATGAGTTAATATTTTTCATGAAATGGTAAAATGTCTCACAGCAGTGTTTATACTACAGATTGCAAAGCAGTGTTTATACCATGGATAAAACAGTGGTGTTTATATTATAAATCAAACTAGTGTTCATATTATAGATCAAACAGCAGTGCTCATACTAGAGATCAAACAGTGGTGTTCAAACTACAGATCAAACACTAGTGTTTATATTATAGATCAACAGCAGTGTTTAAATTATAGATCAAACAGTAGTGT